ACAGGACTCTGGACTCATTGGCTAACACAGGATCCTGGCACAGGACTCTCGCCTCACTGACTAGCGCAGGATCCTGGCACAGGACTATGGCATCACTGGCTAACACAGGATCCTGACACAGGACTCTTTCCTAGCTGGCTAACACAGGATCCTGACACAGGACTCTGGCCTCACTGGCTAACACAGGATCCTGACACAGGACTCTGGCCTCACTGGCTGACACAGGATCCTGACACAGAACTCTGGCCTCACTGGCTACCACAGGATCCTGACACAAGACTGTGGCCTCACTGGCTAACACAGGATCCTCATACAAGACTGTGGCCTCACTGGCTAACACAGGATCCTGACACAGGACTCGGGCCTCACTGGCTAACGCAGGATCCTGACACAGGACTATGGCCTCACTGACTAACACAGGAACCTGACACAGGACTATGGCCTCACTGGCTAACACAGGAACCTGACACAGGACTCTTGCTCGCTGGCTAACACGGGATCCTGAAACAGGACTCTTGCCTAACTGGCTAACACAGCATCCTGACACAGGACTCTGGCCTTAATGGCTAACACAGGATCCTGACACAAGACTCTGGCCTCACTGGCTAACACATTATCCTGACACAGGACTCTGGCCTCACTGGCTAACACAGGATCCTGACACAGGACTCTGGCCTCACTGGCTAACGCAGGATCCTGACACAGGACTCTGGCCTCACTGGCTAACACAGGATCCTGACACAGGACTCTGGCCTCACTGGCTAACACCGGATCCTGACACAGGACTCTGGCCTCACTGTCTAACACAGGATCCTGACACAGGACTCTGGCCTCACTGGCTAACACAGGATCCTGACACAGGACTCTGGCCTCACTGGCTAACACAGGATCCTGACACAGGACTCTGGCCTCACTGGCTAACACAAGGAACCTCTGGCCCCCAAAAGGACCTGCGACTGGCCTCACTGGCTAACACAGGATCCTGACACAGGACTCTGGCCTCACTGGCTAACACAGGATCCTGACACAGGACTCTGGCCTCACTGGCTAACACAGGATCCTGACACAGGAGTCTGGCCGCATTAGCTAACACATGGATCCTGACACATGACTCTGGCCTCACTGGCTAACACAGGATCCTGACACAGGACTCTGGCCTCACTGGCTAACACAGGATCCTGACACAGGACTCTGGCCTCACTGGCTAACACAGGATCCTGACACAGGAGTCTGGCCGCATTAGCTAACACATGATCCTGACACATGACTCTGGCCTCACTGGCTAACACAGGATCCTGACACAGGACTCTGGCCTCACTGGCTAACACAGGATCCTGACACAGGACTCTGGCCTCACTGTCTAACACAGGATCCTGACACAGGACTCTGGCCTCACTGGCTAATACAGGATCCTGACACAGGACTCTGGCCTCACTGGCTAACACAGGATCCTGACACAGGACTCTGGCCTCACTGTCTAACACAGGATCCTGACACAGGACTCTGGCCTCACTGGCTAATACAGGATCCTGACACAGGACTCTGGCCTCACTGGCTAACACAGGATCCTGACACAGGACTCTTGCCTCACTGGCTAACACAGGATCCTGACACAGGACTCTGGCCTCACTGGCTAACACAGGATCCTGACACAGGACTCTGGCCTCACTGGCTAACACAGGATCCTGACACAAGACTCTGGCCTCACTTGTGGAGAAATTTTCTCCAGGAGGGGGGTATCAGCCCCCTTCAGCCCCTTCAGCCCCTTTCAGCCCTGAGGGGCCCAGACCTCTCAGAAGGGGCAAGCGTCTTGTTTACTGCTACAATGAGTAATTGATCACAGATGCCGTACGAGTATGCGACGTGGTCAACCGACCATTGCTCCTTGCAGTCCAGTGTTGCAGAGTGTATTTTAATAAGAGACAGTACATCTCTTACTTTAGCAGGACAATTAAGGAAAATCCTGCTCCCACTTCGTTACCATAGTAAAGATAGTGGACATTGTTGTCTATGCTTAAGACAGCAAGAATCAAACCTTCTGCTTTGCTTCATCGAGGAAGTGGCAAGGAAGCAAAAAGTACTAGGTCAGCTTTTTTTTTGTGCAAGGGGCAGTGACGGCATGGGGCGCTGTGGCGTCTTCAGATTACTTTTGACTCTACTGAGAGTGACACTGACGCCAGGATAACCAACAAAGAACGATCTGTGCGTTAGTGTGAACAAAGTGTCTCATAAAACACAATAAACACTTAAGAGAAGTGTGATCAGCTTCTTCAGTGATAACATTGTGAGCAATAAAGACAAATCTTGTGGAACATAGTGTACCAGTGTGCGTTTTCTAGACAATGGAAGACATGGACATCCAAGGACACTTCAGCTTCTATCAAGTCACCGATAACCGGTTCGAAGGACCAATATTATTGAGAAATGGCATTACCAGCTAAGTTTAAACCGTGAAAATTTAACTTAAAGACAACTCATCGCCTGCACAGCCGCCCCTGCAGACGAGGTCTAGAAGCTGTCGAAACCATCTCACAACGGGCTGTCAAAAAATATAATTTGTAAGATTATAAATTACCACTAGGGGGTGTTATGTCAGCATATTTCATTCACTGATGGCTGACAAAATACATACTTGTTTGGACTCAAAAGTCCACACCTTACTGCCGACTATAGGTTGATTACAAACTCCTTGCGACTCCAGAATAGCGCAGTCCCCCGTTCTACAATGAAATTCGTAACATACCTTGCTCTTGTAACGTGAGCTATGGTGTTCTTCACACCTTCGACAGATTCTGGCCTCACTGGCTAACACAGGATCCTGACGCAGGACTCTGGCCTCACTGGCTAACACAGGATCCTGACACAGGACTCTGGCCTCACTGGCTAACACAGGGACCTGACACAGGACTCTGGCCTCAATGGCTAACACAGGGACCTGACACAGGACTCTGGCCTCACTGGCTAACACAAGAGTCTGGCCTCATTGGCTAACACAGGATCCTGACACAGGACTCTGGCCTCACTGGCTAACACAGGATCCTGACACAGGGCTATGGCCTCACTGGCTAACACAGCATCCTGACACAGGACTCTGGCCTCACTGGCTAACACAGGACCCTGACACAGGACTCTGACCTCACTGGCTAACACAGCATCCTGACACAGGAATCTTGCCTCACTGGCTAACACAGCATCCTGACACAGGACTCTGACCTCACTGGCTAACACAGGATCCTGACACAGGACTCTGGCCTCACTGGCTAACACAGCATCCTGACACAGGACTCTGGCCTCACTGGCTAACACATTATCCTGACAGAGGACTCTGGCCTCACTGGCTAACACAGGATCCTGACACAGGACTCTGGCCTCACTGGCTAACACAGGATCCTGACACAGGACTCTGGCCTCACTGGCTAACACAGGATCCTGACACAGGACTCTGGCCTCACTGGCTAACACAGGATCCTGACACAGGACTCTGGCCTCACTGGCTAACACAGGATCCTGACACAGGACTCTGGCCTCACTGGCTAACACAGGATCCTGACACAGGACTCTGACCTCACTGGCTAACACAGCATCCTGACACAGGAATCTTGCCTCACTGGCTAACACAGCATCCTGACACAGGACCCTGGCCTCACTGGCTAACACAGCATCCTGACACAGGACTCTGGCCTCACTGGCTAACACAGGATCCTGACACAGACTCTGGCCTCACTGGCTAACACAGCATCCTGACACAGAACTCTGGCCTCACTGGCTAACACAGCATCCTGACACAGAACTCTGGCCTCACTGGCGAACACCTCAGCAATCAGAATTCACCCAGAAAAAACACAAGGCTAGATGTCTTTAAATTAATACTCGAGAGCTTACGTATTACATAACTTTAACCTGGACTTAATGACAAGAAATCTACTGGAAATAAATCACTTAGAATTTTGGGTAGTTATACTAGGTAATTTACACTGAATGATAATTATACTTATGTGTACGTTTGCCTCAATAAACCTACAAAAAACTCGTCTGTGAAAAGTAATTCTAGTTTATCGTCTGTGGGTGTGTCTGGCTTTCTGTCGTTCACGTTGTTGTCAAGTTTTGGTCAGTAACTGACCTAAGTTATGTTGAACATAAACATGGTGGAATAAATGGAACGCGTTCTCAGATTTTAAGTTTGTGCTCATCTTTTGATAATATTTTTTTAATGTTTGTTTTGAATTACATACTGTTATGTTTCAGTTGTAGATGATAGTGACTGTAACGTCGATAATTCTGCGGTGCAAATAAAAGTGAGACCATAGAGGAAAATCAACCTGTGTTGAGAACGTGTGTGAAAGTGGCCAGCGATGTAACTGCAAGAGTAAAGTAAAAGGACACAAGTGTAACTAATGTGACATTTTATTGTGGCAACGTTTCGCTCTCCAGGAGCTTTATCAAGCCATTACAAACAATACATGGACACAGAGGGTATATAAAGGCTCAGAGTGAGGTGCAATACTAGTGAGGTACCATTTAGATGTTCACTAGTGGTGGTAGTAGTAGTAGTGACAAAAGTAGTAGTAGTAATACAGTATGGTAGAGCAATTAATCCTTTTACTCTACGAATTAATTGCTCTACCATATTGTATTACTACTACTACTTTTGTCACTACTACTACTACTACTACTACTACTACTACTACTACTACTACCACTAGTGAACATCTAAATGGTACCTCACTAGTATTACACCTCACTCTGAGCCTTTATATACCCTCTGTGTCCATGTATTGTTTGTAATGGCTTGATAAAGCTCCTGGAGAGCGAAACGTTGCCACAATAAAGTCACATTAGTTGCACTTGTGTCCTTTTACTTTACATATTGTCGGTAATTCTACCAACTTTATTACAAACTGCAAGAGTGACGTTAAAATAAGCTGGAAATTGTTACCTTTGCATGATGTATTTCTACTGTGAAAAATATATACCAATTCCTTTTTTAATCACTGCTTCAGGTATCTTCTGTGACCACAACGAGACGTGTTTTGACTGTGCTAAGAGTGCTTTCTGGGAGAACAAGGAGAGCGTCAGGGAGTGTGTCAATGCTTTTGGTAAGTCTCCAAGACAGACACATTTTTGCCTTTCAGAGAAAATTTTAAACTGTCAAGAAGTACGCAAAAACACAGGACGTGGTTATGTACGGACATAAGGTACACATTACTGCATCCTGTGATATAGTCATTAGGTACACAACACCTGGTACACCATCATCAGGTACCCATCACCTGGAGGTGTACTGTCATCAAGGGCATTATTTTTCCAGACGTAGTAATCGTTTGATTTGATAATTATAATTAAAACGATGTTAATTAACTTAATAAACTTAGCATTAAACGATCTTGTAAGTTATCTTTCAAAACCATTATAACACAGCTAAATTGATCAAGACAGCAAATGTACAGGTAATTCTTAACAGGAAAGCGAATTCTTTCTTAACAAAGCAGCATGGTATCTCTCTGAGGGAGTATAGTCTCTCTCTGAGGGAGTATACAGTCTCTCTCTCTCTCTGAGGGAGTATGCAGTCTCTCTCTCTCTCTCTCTCTCTGAGGGAGTATACAGTCTCTCTCTCTCTGAGGGAGTATACAGTCTCTCTCTCTCTGAGGGAGTATACAGACTCTCTCTCTCTGAGGGAGTATACAGTCTCTCTCTCTCTGAGGGAGTGTACAGTCTATCTCTCTCTCTCTCAGGGAGTATACAGTCTCTCTCTGAGGGAGTATACAGTCTCTCTCTCTCTGAGGGAGTATACAGTCTCTCTCTGAGGGAGTATACAGTCTCTCTCTCTCTCTCTCTGAGGGAGTATACAGTCTCTCTCTCTCTGAGGGAGTATACAGTCTCTCTCTGAGGGAGTATACAGTCTCTCTCTGAGGGAGTATACACTCTCCCTCTCTCTGAGGGAGTATACAGTCTCTCTCTCTCTGAGGGAGTATACAGTCTCTCTCTCTCTCTCTCTGAGGGAGTATACAGTCTCTCTCTCTCTCTCTGAGGGAGTATACAGTCTCTCTCTCTGAGGGAGTATACAGTCTATCTCTCTCTCTCTCTCTCTCTCTCTCTGAAGGAGTATACTGTCTCTCTCTCTCTCTGAGGGAGTATACAGTCTCTCCCTCTCTCTGAGGGAGTATACAGTCTCTCTCTCTCTGAGGGAGTATACAGTCTCTCTCTCTCTGAGGGAGTATACAGTCTCTCTCTATGGAAGTATACAGTCTCTCTCTCTCTCTCTCTCTCTCTCTCTCTCTCTCTCTCTCTCTCTCTCCCTCTCTCTCTCTCTCTGAGGAAGTATACAGTCTCTCTCTCTCTGAGGGAGTATACAGTCTCTCTCTGAGGGAGTATACAGTCTCTCTCTGAGGGAGTATACAGTCTCTCTCTAAGGAAGTATGCAGTCTCTCTCTCTCTGAGGGAGTATACAGTCTCTCTCTGAGGGAGTATACAGTTTCTCCCTCTCTCTGAGGGAGTATACAGTCTCTCCCTCTCTCTGAGGGAGTATACAGTCTCTCTCTCTGAGGGAGTATACAGTCTCTCTCTCTCTCTGAGGGAGTATACAGTCTCTCTCTCTGAGGGAGTATACAGTCTCTCCCTCTCTCTGAGGGAGTATACAGTCTCTCCCTCTCTCTGAGGGAGTATACAGTCTCTCTCTCTCTCTCTCTGAGGGAGTATACAGTCTCTCTCTCTCTCTCTCTCTCTCTGAGGGAGTATACAGTCTCTCTCTCTCTGAGGGAGTATACAGTCTCTCCCTCTCTCTGAGGGAGTATACAGTCTCTCCCTCTCTCTGAGGGAGTATACAGTCTCTCTCTCTCTCTCTCTGAGGGAGTATACAGTCTCTCTCTCTCTTCTCTCTCTGAGGGAGTATACAGTCTCTCTCTCTCTGAGGGAGTATACAGTCTCTCTCTCTCTAAGGAAGTATACAGTCTCTCTCTAAGGAAGTATACAGTCTCTCTAAGGAAGTTATCAGTCTCTCTCTAAGGAAGTTTTCAGCCCTCTCTCTAAGGAAAGTATACAGTCTCTCTCTAAGGAAGTATACAGTCTCTCTCTAAGGAAGTATACAGTCTCTCTCTAAGGAAGTATACAGTCTCTCTCTAAGGAAGTATACAGTCTCTCTCTAAGGAAGTATACAGTCTCTCTCTAAGGAAGTATACAGTCTCTCTCTAAGGAAGTATACAGTCTCTCTCTAAGGAAGTATACAGTCTCTCTCTAAGGAAGTATACGTCTCTCTCTAAGGGAGTATACAGCTCTCTCTAAGGAATTTTACAGTCTCTCTCTAAGGAAGTTACGTCTCTCTCTCTAAGGAAGTATACAGTCTCTCTCTAAGGAAGTATACAGTCTCTCTCTAAGGAAGTATACAGTCTCTCTCTAAGGAAGTATACAGTCTCTCTCTAAGGAAGTATACAGTCTCTTCTTAAGGAAGTATACAGTCTCTCTCTAAGGGAAGTATACAGTCTCTCTCTAAGGAAGTATACAGTCTCTCTCTAAGGAAGTATACAGTCTCTCTCTAAGGAAGTATACAGTCTCTCTCTAAGGGAGTATACAGTCTCTCTCTGAGGGAGTATACAGTCTCTCTCTCTCTCAGGGAGTATACAGTCTCTCTCTGAGGGAGTATACAGTCTCTCTCTCTCTGAGGGAGTATATAGTCTCTCTCTCAGAGGGAGTGTATAGTCTCTCTCTCAGAGGGAGTATATAGTCTCTCTCTCAGAGGGAGTATATAGTCTCTCTCTCAGAGGGAGTATATAGTCTCTCTCTCTGAGGGAGTATAGTCTCTCTCTCAGAGGGAGTGTATAGTCTCTCTCTCAGAGGGAGTATATAGTCTCTCTCTCAGAGGGAGTATATAGTCTCTCTCCAGAGGGATGTATGGGTCTCTCTCTCAGAGGGAGTATTTTAGTCTCTCTCTCTGAGGGAGTATAGTCTCTCTTTTCAGAGGGATGTATAGTCTCTCTCTCAGAGGGAGTAAAATAGTCTCTCTTCAGAGGGAGTATTTTGTTTTCTCTCTCAGAGGGGTATATAGTCTCTCTCTCAGAGGGAGTGTATAGTCTCTCTCTCAGAGGGAGTATATAGTCTCTCTCTCAGAGGGAGTATATAGTCTCTCTCTCTGAGGGAGTATAGTCTCTCTCTCAGAGGGAGTGTATAGTCTCTCTCTCAGAGGGAGTATATAGTCTCTCTCTCAGAGGGAGTATATAGTCTCTCTCTCAGAGGGAGTATATAGTCTCTCTCTCAGAGGGAGTATATAGTCTCTCTCTCAGAGGGAGTATATAGTCTCTCTCAGGGAGTACATAACCCCTAGGTTAGGAATTATTATTATTATTAAAGATTAGCCGGTATTCTCCAGGCCCGGGCCTTTTCCAAGTGGTGGCCCGGCCTTGGCTCCCTCTTTAGGGAGTGTCTGAGACCTAAGTCTCCCATGGGAGGAGGCACAAGTACCTCCTCATCTTTGGGACCAACTGTCCCCAAGCCTGGCCACAAGCTAGGCCTCTCTGGTCTGCCATCCCCGCCCCAAGGGGACAAATGGGAATGACAGTCTTATGAGCTAAAGGCTCGGGCTCAGGCACCTACCCTACCCTAGAAGGGTTAAGCATGGTATCGATGGTTAGGAATTATAATCCTTCACTCCTTCCTAAAACATAGTCGCTCCTACTCCCTGAAGTGTAGTTATCTTATGTTACAATGTAGTCTCCCCTCTGCAATTTAGTTTTCTCTTACTGCAATATAGCCTTCCCTCATTCAACAATTTAGACTCCCATTACTATAACGTAATCTGCCCCTCATTCTGCAATGTACGATTTGAAACAGTCTACTTGTTTTTCTAGCCGAGTCTGTCGACAGCCACGTCGCAGTTACCAGTCTTGGGAAAACTGTAAAAACAAGACATGCAACAATAACTTAATTTTTTTTTATAACGACTTCTGCAAATATATTGACAGTGGACAGGAGAAGCAGCGCTAATAATTCAGAAGAGAAGAACTGGCACCAGTATCTCAGTATCAACCCAGATGTATAGAAATCATCAAGTACGTTTTAGTCCGCAGTACAAAAATAACCCACACATAGGAGAAATAAACTTTGTGACGACGTTTCGGTCCGGTTTGGACCATTAACAGTCACGGTATTGTGCCTCTGTTATTTATGTATCAGTCTAAATTCAATACTGAACTAACATATAGTAAAAAGGCCTGAGCATGCTACCACCTGCAGCTCACAAGACTGCCATCCCCACGAGCCCCTTTGGGGCGGGGCAGATGGCAGACCAGAGGACTAGCTTCTCCCTACGAGCCCCGTGAGGGCGGGGAATGTGGCTAGGCCTGGGGACAGTTGGTCCCAAAGATGAGGAGGTACTTGTACCTCCTCCCATGGGAGACTTAAGTCTCGAGACACTCCCCAGATAGGGAGCCAAGGCCGGGTCACCACTACTTGGAAAAGACCCGGGCCGGGAGAATACCGGCGAATAAAAAAAAAAAAAACAAAAAAAAAATACAGTAGCCCAGAGGAAGATGATGAAGGATGTTCTGGCAAGTAACCACTGAAATGTTCTTCCTACTGCTTACCTACCCGGAGGTCGTTCCTAGGGGGTCAACGACCCCCTCGGACTAGTCCTTGACCAGGCCTCGCGGTGAAACACTGTATGATCAACCAACCTGTTACTGCTTATTAAATCGTATCATGCAACTCAGGTGTTGAACTTTGGACTGGGTATACTTCACCAAGTCTCTTATGATCACCGTAACTACCTAACTTATACTAGTATAAAAATTTGATATTAAATATATATATATATATATATATATATATATATATATATATATATATATATATATATATATATATATATATATATATTTATATATATATATATATATATATATATATTAGAATGACAGACAACGTGTGAATCAAAAGTGTATATTAATGTTCCTTTCACCAACAGAGAAGGACTGTGACCGTATGCCGTCCACAGAACTACACGTGTTGAAACAGTGTGTAGTGAAAGCCAACCCTATGGTAAGTATGTACGATGTGCAGGTCAGTTCCTAATGTGTGTACGATGTGCAGGTCAGTTCCTAATGTGTGTACGATGCGCAGGTCAGTTCCTAATGTGTGTACGATGCGCAGGTCAGTTCGTAATGTATGTACGATGCGCAGGTCAGTTCCTAGTTATGTACGATGTGCAGGTCAGTTCCTAGTTATGTACGATGTGAAGGTCAGTTCCTAGTTATGTACGATGTGCAGGTCAGTTTCTAATGTGTGTACGATGTGCAGGTCAGTTCCTAATGTTTGTAAAATGTGCAGGTCAGTTCCTAATGTATGTACGATGTGCAGGTCAGTTCCTAGTTATGTACGATGTGCAGGTCAGCTCCTAGTTATGTACGATGTGTAGGTCAGTTCCTAATGCGTGTACGATGCGCAGGTCAGTTCTTAATGTGTGTACGACGTGCAGGTCAGTTCCTAATGTGTGTACGATGTGCAGGTCAGTTCCTAATGTGTGTACGACGTGCAGGTCAGTTCTTAATGTGTGTACGATGTGCAGGTCAGTTCCTAATGTATGTACGATGTGCAGGTCAGTTCCTAATGTATGTACGATGTGTAGGTCAGTTCCTAGTTATGTACGATGTGCAGGTCAGTTCCTAATGTGTGTACGATGTGCAGGTCAGTTCCTAATGTGTGTAAGATGTGCAGATCAGTTCCTAATGTATGTACGATGTGCAGGTCAGTTCCTAGTTATGTACGATGTGCAGGTCATTTCCTAGTTATGTACGATGTGTAGGCCAGTTCCTAACGTGTGTACGATGCGCAGGTGAGTTCCAAATGAATGTACTATGTGCAGGTCAGTTCCTAATGAATGTACGATGTGCAGGTTAGTTCCTAATGAATGTACGATGTGCAGGTCAGTTCCTAATGTATGTACGATGTGCAGGTCAGTTCCTAGTTATGTACGATGTGCAGGTCAGTTCCTAATGTGTGTACGACGTGCAGGTCAGTTCCTAAAGTATGTACGATGTGCAGGTCAGTTTCTAGTTATGTACGATGTGCAGGTTAGTTCCTAATGTATGTACGATGTGCAGGTCAGTTCTTAATGTATGTACGATGTGCAGGTCAGTTCCTAGTTATGTACGATGTACAGGTCAGTTCTTAATGTGTGTACGATGTGCAGGTCAGTTCCTAATGTATGTACGATGTGCAGGTCAGTTCTTAATGTGTGTACGATGTGCAGGTCAGTTCCTAATGTGTGTACGATGTGTAGGTCAGTTCCTAATGTATGTACGATGTGCAGGTCAGTTCCGAAAGTATGTACGATGTGTAGGTCAGTTCCTAATGTATGTACGATGTGCAGGTCAGTTCCAAATGTGTACGATGTGCAGGTCAGTTCCTAATGTGTGTACGATGTGCAGGTCAGTTCCTAAAGTATGTACGATGTGCAGGTCAGTTCGTAATGCATGTACGATGCGCAGGTCATCTCCTAGTTATGTACGATGTGCAGGTCAGTTCCTAGTTATGTACGATGTGCAGGTCAGTTTCTAATGTGTACGATGTGCAGGTCAGTTCCTAATGTTTGTAAAATGTGCAGGTCAGTTCCTAATGTATGTACGATGTGCAGGTCAGTTCCTAGTTATGTATGATGTGCAGGTCAGCTCCTAGTTATGTACGATGCGCAGACCAGTTCCTAATGAATGTACGATGTGCAGGTCAGTTCCTAATGTGTGTACATGGGCAGGTCAGTTCCTAATGAATGTACGATATGCAGGTCAGTTCTTAATGTATGTACGATGTGCAGGTCAGTTCCTAATGTGTGGACGATGTGCAGGTCAGTTCCTAGTGTACGTACGATGTACAAATCTGTTCCTAGTTATGAACGATGTGCAGGTCAGTTCCTAATGTGTGTACGATGTGCAGGTCAGTTCTTAGTTATGTACGATGTGCAGGTCGGTTTCTAATGTGTGTACGATGTGCAGGTCAGTTCCTAATGTGTGTACGATGTGCAAGTCATGCCCTAATGCATGTACGATGTGCAGGTCGGTTTCTAATGCATGTACGATGTGCAGGTCAGTTCCTATTGTATGTACGATATGCAGGTCAGCTTTTGTGTGTTTGTGTGTGTGACGCAGGCCGACAATAATGTGTGTATGTATGTTATCACAGCTTCCAGTACCTACACGCTAGTTTTTCCTGTCGTTCCACTACCTAGTGGAATGACAGTATATATACTGCCTACCTTCCCTTCGCGCTTCTCTGTGACTAGTTAATGGAGCAAGTCGTACCGAAGCCTCCTCATAAGCTACAGTTTTCTACTTGCTGGTGATTTCTGTATTGTTCCAGTCATGATATTGTTCCAGTCATGATATTGTTCCTTATTGTTCTTTAAATAAATTTCTTCTTCTTTCTCATCCACCCTGTTTACTTCCCGTATAGTTTATTTCATCTTTTTTTAGCTTATAACATCTTCTATACTTGTCTCATCTTCTATACTTGTCTCATCTTCTATACTTGTCTCATCTTCTATACTTGTCTCATCTTCTATAGTTTGTTCTATCTCCTACGGAAATTGGTTTAGAAAATCTCCAAGTTGATAAACAAAACACTGGTGTCGCAGGATCTAATCCCGGGTGGCCGCAGTTTGGTGTATATTTATATGTCGTGCCGAATAGGTAAAACTTGCGATTTTAGCTTAAATAGCAACGCTCTTCTTGCCGAATATTAGGCACAGAATTCATTGAGACTGAATAAGAAAATTCATATTGTAATACACATGTCATCTGGAAGTATTTACGATTCTGTGGAACTAGATAAACATGACCCACAACATGTCTGGTCGTGATAGACATGACCGGTTTGGATGACTTCTAATACATTAATTTGACACATCTAACGGAACTAATGTTCCCCCTCCCCCCTACAGATCTCCAATTGCTTTGTTGGTGTTCTCAGTATGTTGCATCGCGTCGCAGGTCAACTCAGTCCACCGTGTGTTAGCAACCTACACCCTGGTGTTAGCAACCTACACCCTGGTGTTAGCAACCTACGCCCTGGTGTTGGCAACCTACACCCTGGTATTAGCAACCTACACCCTGCTCTCCAGACTGGTTTTCACAACAGGAAGCCTGGTGTTAGTACCCTACAGCCTGGTATGAGTACCTTACAGCCTGGTATTACCTCTCTGCCACCAAGTATTAGCAGTCTACATCCTACTGCTATCACCGTACAGCCTCCTAGTGTTGGGACTCACACCTCACCCACTGGAGATTTCCTAACTACTACTTTCCCAACAACAATCGCAGATACCAACAGGCCACCTTGGTTTAGTCACTTCTAGAAGCACATTACTAAAATATCCTCTTGAGAAAAAGGGTAAAACGTCCACTTAAAATAAGAAATATAAAAAATCTTTAAACAAACTTCATTATTAAGCTCTTAAGTGATAGGTAGAATGACTAATTCCATTAAGTTTTAAATAGTATGATGCTGGTGAACGTTGGACGTAACTGTTACAACTTCTCTAACTAATGTAACTTCAGGATGCGCTATTTTGTTGTTTTCACCGCCCCTCAAAAGCTCCAAAAATATTCTCTCTAGCACCAAAACATCAGGACTGCAGCACTAAAGTACCTTCAGTACCCATGGTCTCCAACACATTTCCTGAAAGTCTCCTCTCTTCTACAAGCAGCTACACAACAGCACTCTCTCCACTACCACTTTATCAAAGGGATTTGCCACTACACACCTCTCCACTAGAGATGTATCGGATATCCGCATCCGCAGAACATCTGCACAATTCCTTGCATCTGCATCCACATCCATATTTTACTGTAAACGGATATCCGCATATGCATCCGCATCCGCAAAATAAGCAAGTAAAACATCCTCATACACATCTACATCTGCGGATATCTAAGTTTTCACATCCGATACATCTCTAAGTCTCCACCATCCCTTCATCAAAGGTTACACCAACAGGCACTCTCTACCATCCTTTTATCAAAGGAATATACGACCACACACTCTCCATCACCCCATAACAAACACAGTTAACAAACAAGCAGTAACACAGCCAACACCTTAAAGATTAGAACGCCATCAGGGAGCTAGTTACACAGGTGACTGAACCTCCAAAAAGCACCACTGTACGGATTTACAGCGCACCTAATGTCAGTTCCTGATCAGCCGGTTTGTGGTTGATACATCAGTTTACAGCCTGGTTGATGAGATCCTGATCCACCCTGAAGCCTGGTCTCAGACCGGGCTGCAGAGGCGTTGACCCCCGAAACCCTATCCAGGTATAACTTCAGGTATACCTTGTGGAGGCTTAAAAACCATACATAGGGAAAACTTCCAGAAAGTTAAAAAACAGAATCAAAGAACACAGATGTACTTGCCAGAGGGGCGACAACACATGCACAGTACCTGGGAACACCTGTAACCACTTGTAACCCACCGAACTAAGATTAGCTATTAGAGAAACAGATCGACGTAACAGACTATCTGAATTACTCTTCAATCATCATTACCAACACAACTTAACACAACTCAGGGTCCTTCACCAACTCTGAGGTGTTGGCAAAACTGATCCTACTTAAAGCCGACACAACGACCACCGGAGACCTGAGTCACTCTCAGGTGACCTCAGCTCCTCGTCGCAGAGCATCATGCTACATCTCACGGACCTCTCCTCAACCACCCTATAACCTCTTGTTGTACTAGTTTCTATTGTTCAAAGTCCCTGGTGGACGAAACTTCTAATAAAATATTATAACCTGCCCTACGTAGTGTCATTATCCTTATACTGTCAGTATGTTGTGCCAGTCTTACACTACACTTCTTCCTCCTCCACCTGCTCTACCCTAACAAGTGTACTACATACCTTCCACCGCCCCTCCACCCAAGATAAGAACATAAGAACGAAGGAACACTGCAGCAGGCCTACTGGCCCATGAGAGGCAGGTCCAAGTCTCCTACCGGCTTAAGCTAATGCACCCAACCCAGTCAGGTCAGGTCACATTGACTTAAGGGAGGAACACGGCAACCGACCTGGTAGCACAAGCTATCAGGTCCAACTCCACCACATTCTCGCCACCACACTCGCCACCACACTCGCCACCACACTCACCACCACACACTCGCCACCACACTCGCCACCACACTCACCACCACACTCTCACCACCACACTTTCGCCACCACACTCTCACCACCACACATCTCACCACCACACACTCACCACCACACTCTCGCCACCACACTCTCGCCACCACACACTCACCACCACACACTCACCACCACACACTCACCACCACACACTCACACACCACACACCCCACCACCACACACTCGCCACCACACTCTCGCCACCACACTCTCGCCACCACACTCTCGCCACCACACACTCACCACCACACTCTCGCCACCACAACTCTCGCCACCACACTCTCGCCACCACACTCTCGCCACCACACACTCGCCACCACACACTCGCCACCACACACTCACCACCACACACTCACCACCACACACTCACCACCACACACTCACCACCACACACTCACCACCACACACTCACCACCACACACTCACCACCACACACTCACCACCACACACTCACCACCACACTCGCCACCACACTCTCGCCACCACACTCTCGCCACCACACTCTCCCACCACACACTCACCACCACACTCTCGCCACCACACTCTCCCACCACTCCACCCCTCCCACCACACACTCACCACCACACACTCACCACCACACACTCGTCACCACACTCTCGCCACCACACTCTCGCCCCCCACACTCTCGCCACCACACACTCACCACCACACACTCCCACCACACACTCGCCACCACACTCTCGCCACCCCCATTCCTCGCCACCACACTCACCATCACACACTCACCACCACACACTCGCCACCACACTCTCGCCACCACATTCTCGCCACCACACCTCACCATCACACACTCACCACCACACACTCACCACCACACACTCGCCACCACACTCTACCTCAGGGGTCCTGGCGAGACAGTTTCTTAAATACAGCCTTTTTGTGTCTCTCATATTATAAAATAATTGTCACAAGTATATGAATTTTAATTCAAACACACACACACACACACACACACACACACACACACACACACACACACACACACACACACACACACACACACACACACACAGAAGGGAACATCAAGAGGGAATATACCAACAAGTGTTGGATGACATACGAACAACTGAGGAGGAGGTGAAGAAGCTCTTAAGTGACCTTGACACCTCAAAGGCGATGGGACCGGACAACATCTCCCCATGGGTCCTTAGAGAAGGAGCAGAGATGCTGTGCGTGCCTCTAACCACAATCTTCAACACATCCCTTGAAACTGGGCAACTACCTGAGAAATGGAAGACAGCTAATGTAGTCCCCATATTTAAGAAAGGAAACAGAAACGAGGCACTAAACTACAGACCTGTGTCTCTGACATGTATTGTGTGCAAAGTCATGGAGAAGATTATCAGGAGGAGAGTGGTCGAACACCTGGAGAGGAACAAGATTATAAATGAAAACCAGCATGGGTTCATGGAAGGCAAATCTTGTATCACAAACCTCCTGGAGTTTTATGACAAGGTAACAGAAGTAAGACACGAGAGAGAGGGGTGGGTAGATTGCGTTTTCCTAGACTGCAGGAAGGCCTTTGACACAGTTCCCCACAAGAGATTAGTGCAGAAGCTGGAGGATCAGGCACACGTAAAAGGAAGGGCACTGCAATGGATAAGGGAATACCTGACAGGGAGGCAGCAACGAGTCATGGTACGTGAAGAGGTATCACAGTGGGCGCCTGTAACGAGCGGGGTCCCACAGGGGTCAGTTCTAGGACCAGTGCTATTTTTGATATATGTGAACGACATGATGGATGGAATAGACTCTGAAGTGTCCCTGTTCGCAGATGACGTGAAGTTGATGAGAAGAATTAAATCGGACGAGGATGAGGCAGGACTGCAAAGAGACCTGGAGAGGCTGGACATGTGGTCCAGTAACTGGCTTCTCGAATTCAATCCAGCCAAATGCAAAGTCGTGAAGATTGGGGAGGGGCAAAGAAGACCGCAGGCAGAGTATAGGCTAGGTGACAAAGACTACAGACCTCACTCAGGGAGAAAGACCTTGGGGTGACCATAACACCGAGCACATCACCGGAGGCACACATCAACCAAATAACCGCTGCAGCACACGGGCGCCTGGCAAACCTGAGAATAGCGTTCCGATACCTTAATAAGGAATCGTTCAAGACACTGTACACTGTGTATGTTAGGCCCATACTGGAGTATGCAGCACCAGTCTGGAACCCACACCTGGTCAAGCACGTCAAGAAGTTAGAGAAAGTACAAAGGTTTGCAACAAGGCTAGTCCCAGAGCTCAAGGGAATGTCGTACGAGGAAAGGTTAAGGGAAATCGGACTGACGACACTGGAGGACAGAAGGGTCAGGGGAGACATGATAACGACATACAAGATACTGCGGGGAATAGACAAGGTGGACAGAGATAGGATGCTCCAGAGAGGGGACACAGAGACAAGGGGTCACAACTGGAAGCTGAAGAATCAGACGAGTCACAGGGACGTTAGGAAGTATTTCTTCAGTCATAGAGTTGTCAGCAAGTGGAATAGCCTAGCAAGTGAAGTAGTGGAGGCAGGAACCATACATAGTTTTAAGAAGAGGTATGACAAAGCTCAGGAAGCAGAGAGAGAGAGGATCCAGTAGCGATCAGTGAAGAGGGGGGCCAGGAGCTGAGTCTCGACCTCTGCAACCACAATTAGGTGAGTACACACCACACACACACACACACACCACACAACACACACACACACACCACACACACACGCGCGCGCGCAGACGCGCACACGCGCAGACACGCACACACACACACACACATCTGGTGTGTGTGTGTTGTGTGTGTGTGTGTGTGTGTGTGTGTGTGTGTGTGTGTGTGTGTGTGTGTGTACTCACCTAGTTGAGGTTGCAGGGGTCGAGTCCTAGCTCCTGGCCCCGCCTCTTCACTGGTCGCTACTAGGTCACTCTCTCTGAACCGTGAGCTTTATCATAACTCTGCTTAAAGCTATGTATGGATCCTGCCTCCACTACATCGCTTCCCAAACTATTCCACTTCCTGACTACTCTGTGGCTGAAGAAATACTTCCTAACATCCCTGTGATTCATCTGTGTCTTCAACTTCCAACTGTGTCCCCTTGTTGCTGTGTCCCATCTCTAGAACATTCTGTTTTTGTCCACCTTCTCAATTCCTCTCAGTATTTTGTATGTCGTTATCATGTCCCCCCTATCTCTCCTGTCCTCCAGTGTCGTCAGGTCGATTTCCCTTAACCTCTCCTCGTAGGACATACCCCTTAGCTCTGGGACTAGACTTGTTGCAAACCTTTGCACTTTCTCTAGTTTCTTTACTTGCTTAGCTAGGTGTGGGTTCCAAACTGGTACCGCATACTCCAATATGGGCCTAACGTACACGGTGTACAGGGTCCCGAACGATTCCTTATTAAGATGTCGGAATGCTGTTCTAAGGTTTGCTAGGCTCCCATATGCTGCAGCAGTTATTTGGTTGATGTGTGCCTTATATGTGCCTGGTGTTATACTCACCCCAAAATCTTTTTCCTTGAGTGAGGTTTGTAGTCTCTGGCCTCCTAGACTGTACTCCGTCTGCGGTCTTCTATGCCCTTCCTCAATCTTCATGACTTTGCACTTGGTAGGGTTGAACTTCAGGAGCCAATTGCTGGACCAGGTCTGCAGCCTGTCCAGATCCCTTTGTAGTTCTCCCTGGTCTTCGATCGAATGGATTCTTCTCATTAACTTCACGTCATCTGCAAACAAAGACACTTCGCGGTCTATGCCTTCCGTCATGTCGTTCACAAATACCAGAAACAGCACTGGTCCTAGGACTGGCCCCTGTGGGACCCCGCTGGTCACAGGCGCTTACTGACACCTCGCCACGTACCATGACTCTCTGCTGTCTTCCAGACAAGCCTGGTCCTCAAGTTTTTGCACTAATCTCTTGTGTGGAACTGTGTCAAACGCCTTCTTACAGTCCAAGAAAATGCAATCTACCCACCCCTCTCTCTCTTGTCTTACTGCTGTCACCCTGTCATAGAACTCCAGTAGGTTTGTGACACAGGATTTCCCATCCCTGAAACCATGTTGGCTGCTGTTGATGAGATCCACCACTTTTCTCCTGATAATCTTCTCCGTGACTTTGCATACTATACATGTCAGTGACACTGGTCTGTAGTTTAGCTTCATGTCTGTCTCCCTTTTTAAAAATTGGGACTACATTTGCTGTCTTCCACGCCTCAGGCAATCTCCCAGTCTCTATAGATTTATTGAATATTGTTGTTAGGGGTACACACAGTGCCTCTGCTCCCTCTCTCAGGACCCATGGAGAGATGTTATCCGGCCCCATTGCCTTTGAGGTATCTAGCTCACTCAGAAGCCTCTTCACTTCTTCCTGGGGTTGTGTGTACTGTGTCCAGCACTTGGGTGGTGGCCCCCACTCCCCCCGTCTTTCGGGAGCCCCTTCTGTCTCCGCTGTGAACACTTTTTTAAATTTTCATTTTTGATTTCTCCATATTTTCGCGGTCGTTTCTTGTCGTCTCTTCTTTCTTCCTTAGCCTGTTACCGGTCCTTACGTTGGTTTCCTTTGTTTGGGGCGGTAAAATACTTGGGGTCAGATTTGCTCCGCTGCTAAGGTTTTTCATATTGTCTTTGGGGGCCTCCCTTCTTACCTGTGCATATTCATTTCTGGCTCTAGACTGTCTCCGATTCCCTGGTCCTTTCCCTTCTTACGTCTTCCATTCCTAGCCACGGGTTTTTTGCCTCCCTGCACC